CTGTTTAAACTCTGATAGAAGCGAAACTGAAAAATAAGAGTGTCGAATTATCAATAATATTATAAAGTTACGCATTAATTTTGCTAAATATTGGTACTTCAACTTAGAACAGTACTGATAGCCATATAGATCTATAGTTTCTTAATGTTAAAAGTTGCAAAAAATAGAATCTTTTAATATAGAAAAGATCTTTCAACATTCTTCACCATTTAATATAATTTCAAATGTGTAGAACTATTTATAGAGTAATTCTGTAAGAACGGAATTTCTTACTTTTTTTTATATACATCGACTACTACAGCTGAATTTCATTTTAACTGAATCGATTCACATCATACGATTAATGCTGTGACTTTCAATAAACAGTAGTTTCATCTGCAGATATAGCCAACTCTTCATCACTCCAATCACTAACTCCGAATCCTGATGAGCCATGGAAACTGCGTGATCTTGCAACGTGACTAAAAACAAAGCAAACAACAGTTTTCTTAAACTAAAAGAACGTGAAGAAAGAACCAGTTACTAAAAATCAATTCATTGTAAACATGAAAACTAATCTCCCATGTGTGTCTCTATAAAGAAGAATGATCGTCTATTAAACGTCTATATTCGATATTTGAAGAATTTCGATTTTTACGCCTATTTTAATAGGGAAAATATGCAACAGTGATAAGGGAATAGGTTCATTGAACCAAAAACATATTGGTTCTTTCTTGGATCATGCAAATCAAACGTGTCAATATGAGGCTCAAAAATTAATCTAGCTGTGTATCACATTAATAAGCCACAACAAATTAGGCTGAAAAATTTCGGCTTCGCACACTCATTATAAGGTGTATTAGTGTAATTCTAACTATCTCTTTTAAGAAGAATGTCTTTCGATCATAATAATGAAATGCTTCTGTGACTGGAATCACTGAAACATCGATAAATGAAATCAGGAAATAAATAGTGAATAATATGGATTTTATACCTTTATATGCTGCTACAAATAAAAGCAATTTCGTATATAGTTAAGTTCCCATTTAACGCTGCCTCAATTAACGCGATATAAATGTTTATATCGTGATATACTGTTTCATTTGAAGCTTAATCTTCCAGGAATATATTTTAAGCATTAATCTAGGCATTACTATATCGATAATACATAAAATCATATCGAATAGACACACATCCATAGTATTCATAGATTAAAAGTGCAAAAGTTGCATTATAATAGGCAATGAATTAATGTAAATAGTAAATAAATTCAAAAAGCAGCATTATTGCAACATGATTTTCTCAAGAGGTTATACAGTAATAGCAAAAATGGGGAGATGACGTTTTCTTCTATAATGTACCTCTTAAAAAAATCTACATCACAAAATCAAACAAGTCTTTTCCGTACCACTTGCTTGTACCGACGGTCTCTATCATTAGATTATCGATCGCTATCAGTCCTACCAACACAGTGAAACAATTACTTCTTATATTAATACGACAATAAAATTCTTTTATATTATGTTCTCCATTAACAAGCATGAACAACTGCTTACCTCGGCGAGAGATTTGCATTCACACTCTTTTTTGCTAATCCTGCCTTTTTTCTCCCTTCCATGGCTGCTTTCATAGGATCATAGCTCTTACGACGTTTCCAATTTTGCATCTCAACTTCTCTTGCATTTGGCGTTACAGGTTTCTTAGTTTCCTTTGGTTTTGCTTTAAGACCCTAAAATGTACATACCTCTAGGAATGTTTTATATGTTAAAAAACAAAAGTGTTGCATACCGTATTTGAAGTTCTATTTGATCGCATACTAAAGCGACCAGAATCAGTCCTACTAATACTTGTAATAGTTTCAGATTTCCCTCTAGTATCATGCGTTACCGTCTTTTTATTGTTTGTATTTGTTGGTAATTTTGTTGGTTGGGATTCTAATCTTGCCCTGCGTAAACTGTAAGTAAGATTTTGAAAGGTATACGTTAATTGATCTATAAGAATTGTAGCAAAGTTTCTATAAAGCACTATAATTACCTAAATGCTCTATTATATTTAGTGTTTGAAATAACATTTTGCGAGAACTGCTGACGGTCGTCACTACTTTCTGTATCGCTAGGCTGATGTAATGTTTTTGATATATTTTTATGCAAACTATGACTAGTGTCTTCGTCGCTTTCGTTATCCGAATCCATTAAAGGTGAACGACAGACTGTAATACGAGCTGTCATAGCTGTGACAACATTTTGAGTTGTTTGCAAATAATATGATGTTTCTAGATCACTATCGCTTTCCTATTTACAAACAAATTTGATATTAGTTACTCATAATAGAAATGTATATTTTTTTTATGACAGACTCATCTACCTACCAACTGTGGACTACACGGCGGAGGTACTTGATTGTCATTCTGAGCAAAATTTAATTCGTTGTCGGACCATTCATTGGCTAATGAAAGAGCACCACCGGTCCCATGGAAACTCGCCGATCGTAACACAGAGCTATCGTGACTGTAAGAATATCGAGTACTGTAGAAATACAACATTTAAAAATATTTTTTACAATACTCACTTTCCTGTACTATCTTCTGTACTGTGGTGTTTCTTCGTATTATCCATTAATTTCTTTCTACCTTCAGCAGCTGCTTTCATTGGATCATAACTTTTCCTCCTCTTCCAATTCTGAAATTCAACTTCCTTCGATGTCAAAGTTGAATTACTTCTACCAGACTTTTGATCTTTATTTACTCTCTGATTAGGTCGCTGTGTAGTGGTAGTATGCTAAACATAATTCAACGATATCAAGTATAATGAAGAAATCTCTCTGTAAGGATTTTATAAACACTCACATGAGCTGATTTCGGTACTCTTATACTAAGTCTAGTACTATCAGTCCTTGACAGTGATACAGCTCTAGGTTTCGCAGGTTCCGATTTTTTTACAGGTTCCTTACTATGAGTGTTCACGTTAGTTGCTCGACTTCGATGGTAATTTTGCTCTTTCTTCGCCGGGGCTACTGCTTTCACTTCGCTTTGCGCTCTTCTGCGTCGCTCTTCTGGAGTGGTATTAGGAGTTGTATCGGACTCACAATTTAATCTGTGGAATATGACATACGGTTCACATTGTTCAACTCTTCATTTGATATTTTTCCTACATATTTATGGAAGTACCTTGCTCTCCTTATACTGAAAGCTCGATTCAATTTGATTCCTGTAGTTGCCGGAGCTAACGAAGATTTCACTTGTTGTTCACCAGTTTCACTGCTACTGTCGGAAGCAGCAACACACCTTCCGCCTGAAGATGTTCTATCGATGTCACTACTGTTAAAGCTACTGCGCCGCGAGGACTGACTCTGTGACTTTATATTTCTAATATTTGCGTTGCTACACGATCTTTGGATACTTAGATTACGTTGAAGGTTTGGACTATTCTGAAGAACACTGTTTGCTTTTGGTAGTAAGTCTTTGTTATTAAAGCCAATGTTTGCTTCGTGGTAACTTGCTGTACTATTCGACTTTCTTAACATGTACGGACTTGAAAGGAAAACAACCAAATTTTAGTATTTTGCGAACGGAATAATTTTCATTCTTATCTGATCTATTCACCTGTTTTCGACACAAGTAAAATATCCAATATTTTTTGCTTGTGGGGAAGATTTCGTTAAGTGCTTAGTTCTTTCCAGCACAGGTGAATTAACAATTTTCGTAACTGCCTTGCGAGTTACGATAGGACTATTAGTTAATTTTGGTGTAGATGGTCTTAGACGGCTTAAGACGGGGCTAGTTGTGTATTTAATGTCATCGTCTTGGTAGTACTTCATGCTGCTTCTCCTGGACGTATTGGATTCGGTTGTATCGGATGTGTATTCTCTCCTGGGAGATTAATCAAAAATATTTAACAGTAATTTATAATCTTCATGTTATAAATAAATTTATATACATATTATAAAAGTCTGTTCACCTGTCCAAGGAACTACTTCGCCTTCCTAGATGAAGGGAAGCAAAATCTTTGGACGGACTACTTAATTCTGCGTTAACATCCTCAGTCTTAGATTTGTTTGAACTTAAATATTTGCGAAGGCTTCTCCTATTTTCGCTGGTATTAATTCTTCTAAAGAGAGATTCAGATAAGCTTCCGCGTCTTGCCAACGAACCGTGTACCGGAGTTCGTTGTGAACTGTGTGGAGGAGTATTGTAACTGTTGCTGGTGTCATCATCTGATTCTCCACCAGAATCAATAAGTATATGTTGGTTCGACATTAATCCAATTCTTTCCTTCATTCGCAAATACGATTCTACATCTAAGTTGCTGTCGTTTTGTTCCTGATATAAATGATTATATAAATGTAATAAACGTTAACCAAAACTGCCAAAAAACGTTGATCTAATATCACGATAGTAAAGATATTTTTAACAGACACATTATTTAAAGCAACTTATGTAACAAAGACATACAGTGCGACTACGAGCCAGTCTTTGAGATCTAGTATGAATTGGAGACGGTATTTTGGAAGGACTTAGTGGTGGGGTGCGGCCGGTTAGTCCACCAATTGCTGGTGGAAGAGAATTATGTTCTGCTACTTGACTCGCCCATTCCGATATCCATGTGTTGTTGTCCCTGGAAGCACTCATCTGTAAAACGAAATATTTTTAATTGTTATTTAAATAAAATTATTATACTCGTACAATACTGTTAATAAATATTTAATGTTCAATTAATTTACCTTAAAGCTATGAATACATGCTTCATTGGATTCATCTTCAGTGAAAACACCAACATTAAACACTTTATCAATATCCATTCTTGCTTTTTCTTCGTCAGTGTAGTCTTTGTGTATTGTATATGTCCCAGCTTCACTGATTTCATCATCGGAGCCTGCACCGGTATTGCTGACATTAAAAGTGTCTATGTTGGTCTCGGTTGTTTCATCTGGATTTACTTCTACTGTATATTTAACACTAGATAAATTGTGTTCTTTCGCGATAATACTTTTCTTTCTGGCATAGCTGATGTTTGACACTTTTTCATTGTCGGACAAATGCTCGTAATCATCTTCGTGATCTATATTTTTTGTATAAAGTTTCTCACTAACAGTATCATCATAGTTGTTAGACTGAATTCGGCTTAAGTCGTTTATAGTAGCAGATTTTTGAGGGCCCCAATATGGTGTACGCTTTTTTTCTGAATAAGTAAGCTCTAGAGAAAGATTTTTATGAGGAAATTTATTTTGTTTTGATTGTTCGAATGATCTAGTCATTAGGTCTTGTTTATTTTGAAAATTCGTTACTTTCACGTTAGACTCGGATTTTTTTGTAGCATTAGACGATTTTGAAAATGATTTTGAACCTAAAAAAAAGGGAAAATTTGTTACAATTGCATAAAGTATCACATACCAAAGTACAAATATAATGGAACACATAAAACAAATATAAATCTACAATGAAAATAAATTGTTGATGTAGATATTTATATGCAGTAATCACAATTCTTCAATTTAATATAATCAAATATTTTAATATAAATGTGATTAAAGTCAGTAACGTGTTGGCAGCCTACATACTGTGAACATATTGAAGGTACATGAGAAGAATATTAAAAAGCATGGTACAGGTGACTTCATCATGACTCATACATTACAGAT